GAGTGAGACTCCAACTCAAAAAAAAAAAAAAGCAAAGCCAAAAAAACAATGAACAGCCGAGACACGATGGCCCACGCATGTAGCCCCTGCACTCTGGGCGGTGGAGGTGGGAGGATGGCGGGAGGCCAGGAGCTCAAGTCCAGCCTGGGCAACATAGCCAGACCCTGTCTCTACAAAAAATAATTTTAAAAGTAGCCAGGGGGCTTTGGGAGGCCGAGGCGCAAGGATTGCCTGAGTCCAGGAGATCGAGACCAGCCTGGGCAACTTGGTGAGACCTCGTCTCTACAATAAGTAAAAAAAAAAGAAGCCGGACATGGTAGCACTTGCCTGTAGTTCCAGCTGCTTGGAAGGCCGAGGCAGAAGGATCACCTCCGTCCAGCAGATCGAGGCTGCAGTGGGCGTGAGGGTGCCACTGCACTCTAGCCTGGGCGACAGGGTGACACTCCAACTAAAAAAAAAAAAAGACATAGCCAGGGGTGGTGGCACGTACCTGTAGTCCTAGCTGCTGGGGAGGCTGAGGTGGGAGGATCACTTGAGCCCAGGAGTTTGAGGCTGCAGTGAGCCATGATCACACCCCTGCACTCCAACCTGGGTGACAGAGGGAGACCCTGTTTGTTCCACGAAAAAAAAAAAAAGCAAGATGAGGTATTAGGCTGATAGCGGCTTAGTCAGGGAAGGCTTCCTTGAGGAGGTGTCATTTGAGCTGAGATAGAACACAGAGGAAGCAGCTCAGAGGAGAACGACAGAGATTTCCAGGCAGAGGGAACCGTTTCTGCAAAGCCCCCGAGGCTCATGTGACTGGAGACGGGGTTGAGAGGAGGCATCTGGAGACACAGTAGGATTTTTTTTTTTGAGTTGCAGTCTCACTCAGTCGCCCAGACTGGAGGGCAGTGGCCACTCCCGGCCACCGCAGCCTCGACCTGCTGGGCTCCCGCAATCCTTCCACCTCAGCCTTCCCAGTAGCCGGAATGACAGGCATGCGCCACCAGGCCTGGCTGATTTTTGATTTATTGTAGAGTTGAGGTCTCGCTGCCCAGGCGGGTCTCGAACCCGCGGGCTCAGGCC